CTGTTATCTGTCAGTTTTCTCACTCCATTTGGTGCTTGGCTGAGTTCTTTATCTCTTCATTTGATGTTTTAGGGTTTCAGGATTGTTGTATTCTCTGTTCGGCTTCGTTTTTTGGATCTTTGCTGTGGAGGGACGGCGTGGTGCTTCTGCCTAGAGTGCCATTTTGCCGGAACTTCCCCTTAATTCACTTTTTTGACTACTAACGAGGTTCAACATGTTCTTATTTTTATTTACCAGTTTAACGACATCTTCTTTTATAAACTATCTACTTCTGTCTTTTGCATCTAAATGAAGTGACGATAAAATTATGCTATCTTGGATTAACTAGATCTCTGGCTTCTTTTTGGATACTCAGGAGTTAATAATTTTTTTTTTTTTTTGAGGAAGGCAGAATTTGATTGGCAATACAATTATAATACAGAATAATTTCAACAAAAAACGTGCCAGTTACACAATAACCACTTTATGACATTTCAGTATTTTTGTTTCTCCTGCAGAGCAAAATTAGATGCTTGATTTACTGAAATGATATATGCTGGCTCACCGAGCCCGGGCTGCTAATCTGTCAGACACACAAGTCTGTCTCATCTCATATTCTGAGCCCTCATTCCAAACTCATATCCTACTTATTTTTAAATCCACATTATTAGTGAAACACAGCCTTTTTAGGGCTTACCTTGTCCATATCTATTAATGTTACAGGAATGTTTCTTCCAACTACCACCATCACTGTGCGACCACAGTTATCAACACCTACAAACAGGAAATGTAATCAGCACCCAGAATCTTTATGTCAAGAATATTATTTGTCCTGAGCTCAGAACTTACAAAAATATTCTATACAAATTTAAAAGACTGAAAACCAAGAAGTATAATTTTATCAAATTTCATCTTCGGATTTTTTTTTCTGAATGGAAACTTTTTTTTTTTTTTAAACCTCATGGGGTTTTGATCACTGCCCTTACTTTTAAGATAATATTTCTTAAAGGTTTAAAATCAGGGACAGTCACAGGTAAGGCTGCAGGCAAAGTCTTTTAATAAGTAGCCTTCTGCTTAAGTTCACTACAACTTGTAATAACATTAGAGATCAAAAACAAAAACAAAACAAAACAACAAACAAAACCCCCAACAAATGTAAATGATATTGAAATCTGAAAATTAACAAGCACTATCTGAAAAAGAAACATAATTTTAGGAGAAGAGTGGGAAGCTGGGAACTTTCAATGTCTACATTACATATTTACATAAGGTTTGAATTTTGTATAGCAACATAACAGTACTTTTAAAGCAGAAATTTTTTATTTTTTTTTTTAAGATAAGGAAAAGGATACTAGATGGAAACTACATATTTAAAGTTTTATAGGTCGAGATGTTATTTTTTAACATTTTGATGATGGGCAAAACCTACCTGCATTAGTACAAAAACATTTCATTCATATATAAGACTGGAAGAAACCAGAGAAAAACGAAGTCTCAAGTAGCATGCTGGGTAGGGTCCTTAATTAGCAAAAGAGTAAGTTACCGCATCTTTAAGCTCACCTGTTTGGTATAAGGCTTTTAGAGAAGCAATATCAGATAGATCCTCAGATCTTGCTTGACATAACCAGCGATTATAACTAGAGAAATAAGGGATATAGTTATTATAATAAACCCTTGTAAGTTAAATTTACCAGTGGGACCTGTTTTTAATACCTTTTCCTGAACCTAAGAAAAAATGATGTTTCCTGCTCATGAGGAAGGAGCAAGAGGCTATTATACTATAGCCTATGTGTTAGTGATGAAATCACAAATGAGTTACTGAGAAAGGAAGGTATTCGTGGTGCATGATTTAAAAAAAAATCCTCTGTGATCAAACAAATGCTACAATGACAAATGGCTAAGATACTCAGTATTCACACTAACACTTATTTCAAACAGTACTGTTTCTCTTCACTAAAAAATGCAAATAGACTAAAGCAATGGCAAGTCTCTAAAACAGATGTTCACCCATTCAATTAAAATTTGAGTGTTTACTATATGACAGGTATTGAGAATACTGTAGTAAATATATGTGGTCACTGCCCTCAAGAAATGTTACTTTCAAGAAAAAAACAGTAAGTGTTGTACTTGCCAACTGGAGTCAAAAAGGAGTCAGGTAATTTTACCTGGGAAGTCGAGGCATATTTAGTGATTGGTTAGTCAAACTAGGTGTACTAAATATCCCATAAGACATCATATGACTGCAGTTTCGCTTTGGCTAAGAGGATGTTAAAAACTGGAAGAAATGTTAAAGATCTCAAAAGAAGGAAATGATTTGTAAAAGAGAACTCAGCCAATTAATGCTAAGGGTTGACTATGAAGTTGCACTCAGGTCTCCAGATTTCTTGAAAGGTCAGTACTTTTTCCATTATATCATACTGCTTCTTAAAATTCGAAGTGCCACACATTATACTGTGAAAAAAGCTTTCACAATATCTAAATGCATAAAAAGCACCTGTAAAGTGCCTAGGTTACAGAGGGTAACATCCCGTACCAAAAAACACTAAACTAGCAGACGCGTGATTTGGTTTCTAAACCTATCGTTTTATGTGTGACCAAAGAAAAGCCGTTTCAGCGCTATGGATCTCAGTTTCTTCATCAGCAAAACGGTGTTTGTGCAGGACACCTTTCAGCTATAAAAAGTGCAGTCACATAACTAATGGTATTCAATGGAAAGATGGGTTGTAATCAACAGATGGGTTGTAATCAACAGGTGATAGGCCTGACAATTTCACAAAACTTTTTATTGCTTGTGAAAACGAACACTTGGTATTGCATTAGTTCTGTAGGTTGTCTTCTTAAATTTGGTAACCTGCCCACTCATGCAAATTGAGAAAACCAAAAATGGTTTCTAATTTTGGTTTAAAATATAATTCGTAAGTCAAGAAAAGATCTATGCTTATTGTAGTTCTTCCTAATTCATATACACGATTCCATATTTTCACATGGAGTCATTTCCTAGGTTAATCCTTAATTGTATTGTTTTATGATTTAGTCATCTCCCCAACAAGACTAAACAGAATAACATATCTAAAGTGTCTTATGAGTGGCACAGGTGCTAGCACAAAGCGTACAACAGGAATTCAGTAAATACTTGTAAATTTCCATACTCTATTCATATATTCATGAAATTATTTTTCAAAGGTTTATTGCATAAATGCAATGCCTAGATCACAGTAGGGACTCAAATCTTTGTTGAATGAACTAATCAACATAAATGAGTGTTACACAAAGGTATTTTTGGCACCTAAAATGAAAAACAAAAGGCCCTTGGCTTCAAAGAGTTTAAAATCGGATATGAGACAGACACAAAGACAATTAACTTTGTAGCAAGACACAAAGAGACAAGCAACCAAACAGAAATCTAAGTATTCTGTCATCAAGTATGTATGCTGGGAAGGGGGCTGAGAGGATGGGGGTGATGGCATAGAGGCAAGTCCCAGACATGCAGAAACAAATGTTCCCTTCTTTGTAACCTAAAGACTTCTACCATGGCCATAAAAAGCTTTACTCACTTAAAGTAATGTCTGCTCCTATTCTATTAGACCACAAGATAGGGAATATGTGTTACTTGTCTATTTTTCAGGTAGTTCCTGACACTTGATAACTATGTGTTGAATGAATTCTGAAAAAAAACAATTTTTAAAAACTGGAATGCAAGTATACAAAATAGAATGAATCATGATTCAAAACACTCATCACGAGGACATGCATGGCCCACTTAAAAGAATTGGTTATCTAATTAGTTATTTTTAATGAAACAATACAAAACCCAAACTAAACCCATTGCTGTCGAATTGATTTTGACTCATAGTGACCTGACTGGACACACAGCAGAACTGCCCCATAGGGTTTCCAAAGCTGTAATCATTATGGAAGCAGACTGCCACATCTTTCTCCTGCAGAATGGCTGGTGGGTTTGAAATGCTCACCTTTTGGTTAGCAGCTGAGTGCTTTAACCACTATGCCTGAGCACCCAAAAACCCATCACCCAAAAGAAGCTAATATATCACAATAACCTACATCTAATAACACGATCATCTTCCTCCAATTTCAACCTTTACCTTGCCTCTCCCTAGCCATCATTCAGAATTCCAGGCTCATCATTTCCTTGCTATCTTTTTATTCAATATCATTTTAATTCATCCCTATAATTCCTAAAAAGTTATTTTTTGGTTTTTAATTAGCAAGAAAAAAAAAAGCTTATCATGGTGTATATAATCTTTAGAGCTTTATTTTTTGATCTATATTGTTAAGATTAATCCATATTGTTGGTTGTCAATGTCTTCATTCATTTTGACTACTCTATATAATGTATTTATAGTATATGAAAACTACCACACTTTATGCAAATAATGCACACCTTCTATGTTTGCCAAACACTCCCTCCCCGCCCCCCGTGAGGTATTTTTGTAAGCACAGTTACGCTATTTCTTTTTTTTTTTAACAGCAACGTGTAAAAAAACTGGCATGACGGTGCTTACGAAAATACCTTGTGGGAGAAGGGAACGGTTGGCAAACAAACGTACAAAATGTGTGTTATTTGTGTAAAAATATGGCATAGATTGTAATAATTAGTTTAACATTTCTTTCCTCTGCAAAACTCTAAGCTCCATGAGGGGAGGAGCCGTATCTGTCTTGCTTGTCAATCTATCACCTGTTTCTAGCACAATACTTGGTATCTTACTAAGGTCTCAATAAATATTTAATAATGAATGAGATAAAGTTTTAGCTGTGACAAATGATGTGAGTGACAGTCGGATCTTAAGCCAATCAAGGAACATTAATGGAAAGAAAAAGAAAAGCTACTGTAAATAATTTTAACCATGACTTTTAAAAGCTGCATTTTTGAAAACAAGTTATCTAGTTTGCTTCCTAATTACTGTAAGTAAACCAACTTCTATCTTAGAATAGCCCCAAATGAGTACAACAACTGGGCAGAAGACCTGGAAATACTGATGCAAGAATTAGACAACATGTCTAAATTTTTCAAGTGATGGTTAAGATGAATTATTGCAAAGAGATATTGATGTGGCAAGGAGTGTTTCACAGTGCTATGAAATTATGTAACCCTATTGCCAATCCATGTGGACCTTTAGTTTTGTTATTGATAGAAAAATTGAAGGTTTCCAAAAAGATAATACTAACTAAAGACTTACTTTCTACCCCAGAGATTAAAAAAAAAAAGTATCATCTGCTCAGCCTGATCATCTAATCAATAGAAACCAAACTCAATATGTGAACAAAAGTTTGATTTAGAAAGAGTTGTTGTGGGACGTTGAGTAGATTTTGACTCATTGTGAGCCTACAAGACAGAACAGAACTGCCCCATAGAGTTTCCTAGGCTGTAATCTTTATGGGAGCAGGTCACCAGGTCTTCTCTCTCTCATAGAGCGAACGGTGGGTTCGAACCACCAACTTTTCGATTAGAAGCCAAGTGCTTAATCATTGCGCCACCACAGCTCCTCTTTAGAAGGAGTGAAAGAAAGAAATTTAAAAACCTAAACTTGCAATCTCAAACATTTAACACATGGCACAGTATGCAAATAGATGACTTCTGGCTCAATTTTATCATAAACTCCTAAACAATTAGTCATCTATACTAAACTTTTTGGTCTGAGGACCCTCTTATGTTTTAACAAATTATTAAAGACCCTGAAGACCTTTTGTTTACATCAGTTATGTCTATCAATATTTACTGTATTACTGATAGAATATCAATAATTACTGTAGAAATTAAAACTGAGAAATTAAAAAATATTTAACATTAATTCAAAAACAATAAAAAAACTATTTACAAGAAAAGCTCTATTTAGAGAGAAGAGTTGCCCTCTTTTACATTTTTGCAAATCCCTTTAATTTATGCTAGATTTTCATATCTACTTCTGCATTTAATCTCCTGCAATATCACATGTCAAACAGCCTCTGGAAAACTCCACTGGCCTTCACTGAACATTCTGAGAGAATGAAAGTGAAAAAGGCAAATAAGTCTTAAAATATTATGAAGTAGTTTTTACCTCACATATCCCTTGAAAGTGTTCTCTGGCCAACACTTTGAGAACCACTATCATCACTCTGAAGTATTCTGCGATACAGCTATAAGACAACACCTCACCTTCATCATCAGACACTGGGCAGATAAATGGAAAATAAAAAAATCTTTTGATTCAGATGTAGCTTATCGCTCAAAGAACTGAGTGGCAGAGGTGCCAAGCCCTTTGTTTCCTGGTCCAGGCTCTGGACTGTGCTGTTTTCCATTTCTACAACTATGTGTTGAATGGATGTGCACAACAACCTGTTGTTCAGGACATCTGTTGTTATGGATTGAACTGTGTTCCCCAAAAATGTGTATCAACTTGGCTAGGCCATGATTCCCAGTATAGTGTGGTTGTCCACCATTTTGTGATCTACTGTGATTATCCTATGTGTTGTAAATCATATTCTCTGCCTGTGGTTAATAAGGTGAGATTAGGTTATGTTAAAGCAGATTATGTTAAAGACAATTAGGACTCAGGTCACAGCCCTGATCCAATGCAAGGGGAGAGTGGTGACATGTTGAGGTGTTGGCAACCAATGTTGCAAAACAATATTAATTTGG